CCCAATAAAATGATTTTAAAATAGAACAAAATAGAATATATGTGGAATATATTCCAAGACAATTACCAGAGTTTATCATATGCATTGGAAAAGTCTGGAAGGATGCTAATTTTTCTTCTGTCTTGATAGTGGGACATTTTGGCAGTTCTAATGTGTGTGTTTTAATTGTTATGTAATTTCTACTTTCTTTGGATAATTTCAATCACATTAAGGAATTTACTCTTAAAAAAAAATTGCCCCTTTGTAATAATCTGAAGCTTCTCATCTGCCCCCTCAACCAGAGTGGGAAACTGTGTACGTATGTCATGGAAAGGACATCGAATTTATAAACACTTGGGTTTTCCAATTCTAGCAGGGAAGGTGATAGTAGTAGTTTGATATAATGAAGAGCAGCATTTGTAATATGGTCAACAAGGTCTTTTAAGATGTGGTGTGTCCCCTGCTCCTTAGTAATTTACATACCTCTACATATCTTTTTTCCGTCTCATTTTTTTCTTGATAGACTCATTTTTCTCTCATTAAACTATATTTGTTTGGAAACAAGGATGTTTATATGGTCGAGCCATCAGATTTTCTTCCCTAATCAGATTTAGATCTGTCAGCAGCCAGTGAGCCCTGACGTGCTCAGGGTAATCTATGGCACCGCAGAATATAAATATGCTTGCTATGTTTTGGCAAGTATCCCTACCTTGTGTGTCTTAAGAAGAGATCTATATGTACATGTCGTTGCAAATTATCTTATGTGTATTTCCTATTTGTTTTCATGTTCCAGCTTGGGCAGCTTTTAGCAGCTACCTGCAAAGAACTTCCAGGCCCTAAAGAAAGCAGACGGACTGCTAAAGACCTTTGGGAAGTCGTTGTTCAGATCTGCAGTGTGTCCAGCCAGCACAAGCGAGGAAACGACGGCAGAGTTAGTTTAATAAAGCAGAGGGAGTCAACACTGGGTATAATGTATCGGTATGTTGCTACCAGCATATTGTTTGAGTTCTTATTAATCGTGCTGCTTGTCTTATTTCAAGGACATCTTGCCTCTGTTCTTGTGTATCGTAAAGGGGAATAATCTGTAAGAATTTTGTTGTCCTGATCTCTCATAGACCTGTCTGCCATGGCCACCCATGAAAGTCTTCTCTCTGTTGCTTTAAAAATCACTTGATGTATAATCAACTGAAGCTCAAAATTAATGTGGTTGAGTAGTACTGAAGATTTCTCAAGTGATTAAAAAATGAAAGACAGTTTATTAGGTTAGTTTGACAATAGAATATTTTATTTCTTTAATATGTAATAGAATTGAGGATTTAGGAATAATCTTTTACTTTCTGATTTTATTTTTCATTTCTTGATATTAAATTTGTATACAAAAAATTTTTGTTTTTTGTAGGAGTGAACTGCTTTCTTTTATTAAAAAATTACGGGTAAGTTTTATTAAAAATTGATCTAATTACTGCTGATTTTTACATGATATGCATAAGACATTGAGTGCTTCAAGTGCTGATTAAATTATAAAAGTGATGTGCTAATGAGCTTATCTTTAATGATCATTATTGAAGGTTAGATAATACGAATGTACAAGTTTATCTTGGATTTACCTTGCCATGTTTTGGTGAATAGAGAACATATTTTTAAACTTTAAGGAAGTTTCCTTAGTAGGCAGATATTTGGGACCTACCTTTGTTATAAAGTTGCTTTATAGAATTAATGGCATATTTATTTAATTGACATGTTCTAGATTCCACCCTCTAGCTATTATTTTGAAGAATAAAAATTTAATTGTGGGGGAAGGAGCTAGAAAAAGAGATCCTGTTAACTCAGTTTCCAAAGTCACCGGGAATTGAGCTGGGAGGTAGAACCATAAGACAGACAGTTATATGTGATATTCTTGTATAAACCGTGTACTTTGACTTTTTCATGAGCATAAAAATGAAGTTGATACTAAGCATACTCATACCCAACATTTCACTCAAAGGGGTAAGGGTCTTAGAAGAGAAAGTATTTTGTCTCCCTGCAATTGATGGGAGAAATACATAAAAGATTTTTACATAAAAGATCCCAGGTGTCTGTGTTTTCTCTCTCACAGGAACCACTGGTTTTGACTATTATCTTATCGCTTTTTGTGAAACTTCACAATGTTCGGGTCAGTATTTTATAATTTCTTTTTAAAAAATGATATGAAAGCTATTTCTTTTTAAACTGTTGTGTATGTGTGTTTGTTTTTTTAAGGAGGACATTGTGAATGACATTACAGCTGAACACATTTCTATTTGGCCATCATCCATTCCCAAGTAAGAAGTATTACAGTTTACCTATTATTTCTGGGTAACAAGTTGGACTGTTAACCACAAGGTCAACATTTCAAAACCACTAGCCACTGCACGTGAGAAAGATGAGGCTTTCATCTCCTCTAAAGAGTTACAGTCTCAAAAACCTACAGGGGAAATTCTACCCTCAGCTTTGACTCAAAAGCAATGAGTTGTATGAGTATTATTAAATTATTTATGTGCCTAGAAACCATTTTGCCTGACATAGGTAACTTTAATATAATTTGATTGGAAGTCTATAAATCTGTTCACAGATTAATGTTTCTTTCTTACAGTAATTATCTTCTTAGAAATTATGGGTAAGGCATACCTTTTAAAAGTAAGAACTAAGTGTATCAGACCTGGCTAGAATACACTTCTCTACCTACTTGGCAGTGGGTAAGAGTGGAAAATCAAAGCTAGCCAAAGGATAGCTATCAGGTTCCCAGCATCTTAACTGTTTTACAGATGTCCATTTGAAAATTATTATTTTTTAATAATTCCTTAAAATCTTTATTCTGTGCTTCTTGGACCCCCGTCCTCTTAGCTAGTCTTGGAAGTTCCTTAATTGCTTTTAAGAAATTGTTTCTCTTATATTTATTGCCTGAAAATCAGTCAGCTAGGGAGAACAAATGTTCTCTTTTTTTTTCTTGAAGAGGAAGTCATTTATATAACAACTTTTCATACTAGAGAGCCAGTTTCCTCTTCGTATTGACTGTTCTTCTGCCTCCCAATCCTCTTTTACACACTGTACCTGCAGGGCAGGTGCACCCTCCTTTCATAGTTCTTGGTGGCACCTGTGAAGTTATAGTAGGTCATGTGAACCAGGCAGTGGAGAAAATAGTAAAGAAATCCATTTCCACCTCTGTTTTGAAGGTTGGAAGTATCTCTGTGTCTCGTAGAGGGTTTGTAGGCCAAAAGTTGGGTAGGGACCTTGCCTTCGGTTTCCTGATTGATACTTGTAGCCCAGAGAACCAGGCTTCAGGAAGCACATGAGGCAAGCTTCATGTCAGTCCAAGCCAGATAGTGCTACAATGTATCTTTAACTCACTTAAAATGTTATATATTAGATAGATAACAGTCCAGTAATCAGGTAGAAGTAATTTTACCTCTTTAATGAACTGGTTCATTAGTTGTATTACCTGTTGGTGTTAATTTTGGGCCTAACATTAGACTCTACACAGATTTATTATTTTGTAAATGAGCTAAAGGATTGCTTTTAAACCAGGGGCTCTGGAGCCAGGCTTGTAGAGCTTGTACCGTACCTCCACTTACCAAGTGCATAACCTGTACAAGTTACTATCTGTGTCAGTTTCCCTTCCTGTATAATGGGTGTTATGAATGTGAAGAGTAGGTACATTAATGCCTTTTGTAAGATAGGTGTTTAGAACATGGATGGGCTCATTGCAGGTTTAATGAACTGTGACTCAGTTTGGTACTAGTGAAAGTATTTATCTTGACCCAGAGTCTTAATTGACTTCAACAATAGACTTGTTAAACATTGGTAACTTTCTGTGTAATACGAATCTGTTTATTAGTAAATACATAATTGGGTGCTATTGTTCCTTTGCCAGTGTTCCAGGCACATGGGAGAATTCATGTAAAAATCTAACCCTGGAGGATAACAGAAGTCATTTGACCAAGCTTATCTTGTAAATTGTAGCACCCTGGCATGGACCTTGTGTGTGTGCATCCAGAGCCTGTGTTCCCTACTGCTGTGCTTTCTGAGGCTCAGAGGTTGGAGCTAATAGCTGTGTAACTTGAGTGAACCTGGCTTTTATCTTCATAGTTCCATCTTCTATGCCAGTGTATATCCCAAGCCTTCCAGGTCTCATCAGGGTCGGAATAACAGATCCCTTCTCCTTCCCTTTTCTTGACTCTTTATTTTTACCTGAATGCCCTGAAGTGGTAGAGAAGTGTATTCTGACTCCTTGGAGACCAGTGAGACAGCTAGTCATCTAAGTGAGTGAGTTAAAAGCACAAGGTGGCTTTAAGGTCAGAAAGCAGTATTGTTGTGCTTGCGCTCTTATGTTGATGGTTCTTTGCAGAACCATGTGAGAAAATTTTGAGTGTTAAAATTGTCATAAAAGCAGACACCACATGGGTTTCATTTTGACATTCTACTATTTTGACATCTTATGTAATTGGAAAAAGTCAAATATACTTTGGGTTTTGGGGGGTGTAGTCTAGCCTAGCTTCTAAAGGAGCCTTGGTACTGGTATGGGGTAGGCTTCAATTCAAACTCACCAGCTCTTCTTCGAGAGAAAGACGAGGCTGTCTGTCTCCGGAACACTATATGCGGTTGCTATGGGTTAGAAGCAACTTGATGGCAGTGGGTTTGGCTTTTAGCTTACCATTTGGCATTTTGGGGAAAAACAAACAAACAAATCAGTATTTTCAGGTTTTTATGAGAAGTGAGTTTTATATATTTTATCATACCTATTTGGATGGTTTTATACATTTACTACTTGTAATACTGAACATGTTCATTGTACCCTAAATAATAGCTGTGTCTTATTTTGTAGTAAATGCTTAAACAGAATTTAAAATAAATTTTTATTAATATCGAGATTAACGTTAAGTGTCTCTCCTCCAGCCTCCAGTCAGTGGACTTTGAAGCTGTGGCAATCACAGTGAAAGAGCTCGTTCGCTACACACTCACTATAAATCCAAACAACCATGCCTGGTTGATTATCCAGGCTGACATTTATTTTGGTAAGTAAGATGTATAGATGATCCTGGACGCTTTTTGTAGCACTTCCAAAAATGCAAATAAACACATTGTTAATGCATTTTACTATAATAGTTTATTAAATTCTGTCAAGTATAATTTTCTAGATATCAAAATCTTCAGTAAAATTGAGATAATAAAATTATAGTTATTATACTTATGCATTTTGTTTTTTTGTGTAGAAATGTTGGTTACTTTTATTTTTTCAGTGATAGTAGATCATCTAATAAATTGGTAAAATTGTTTAAGTTATAAAAGTAAAGTTTTTGCTTATAAAATTGCTATTTAAAGATTGTCGAGTCTCTGAGAGTGCCTGGGCAGCACAGATGGTCTCCAGTCAAAGTTGGGTGGTTAGAATCCACTCAAAGGGACCTTGTTAGAAAGGCAAAAGACAATGTACTTCTGAGAGACCACACACCATCGCAACCCTGAGTCAGAGTTGATTGGATAATCATTGACGACAGTCTCTTCAGACACTCTTCTTAATTAGTCACATTCTTGGAGGTAATTCGAGTTTTAGGTTTATCACCTCTGGCATATGTCAATTGGATTTTCCGACTTGATATGAAATTTCCAATATTCCCATTCTACCTTCACCCATGTTTCTGTTGTTCATCACCCTGATTGGGGGCTGGGGGAGGACGTTTATATATGCCGATCATTGCAGTAGCTTCCCCCTTTCTCCCCTCACCTTCCCTCTACTCTTACGGTATCGATGCTCCCATGATTGTTTCTGGGGTGTTTATCTGTCTTGGATTCCCTGTGTCAAGAGCTCCTATCTGTACCAGTGTCCATGTTCTGGTCCAGCCAGACTTTTAAAGTAGAACTGGAATCATGATAGGGTGGGCGTGGGGTCAGGGACAGGAAACATTAAAGAACTAGAGGAATCTTTGTATTACAGTTTCCTCAGTTCTGTACTGCACCACCCTGGCTGGCTTGTCCCTTCCTTGTGACCCTTCTGTGAGGACATGTCCAGTTGTTTACAGATGGGCTTTGGGTCTCCACTCTGACCCCCTCGTTCAATATGATTGTTTGTTTTGGGTCTTCTGATGCCTGATACCTGATCTTGTCCCGATATCTCATGATCATCCAGCTGGTGTGCTTCTTCCATGTGGGCTTTGTTGCTTCCCAGCTAGATGGCTGCTTGTTTATCTTCAAGACTTTAAGACCCCAGACACTGTATCTTTTGATAGCTGGGCACCATCAGCTTTCTTCACCACATTGGCTTATGCACCCACTTTTGTCTTTAGCAATCATATCGGGAAGGTGAGCATCACAGAACATTGGTTTTTTTAAAGTGTATTTTAATGCATCATCAAGATTGTAATATCTGTTTTCAGAATAAGTGTGCTGATTCTGAAACAGCCTTGAGAATTTAGCATATCTAGTTTGGTCATTTGAGAAATAATTAACTCCAAATACTAAATTATGTACTAATAAATTTGACAAGAAATTTGAGCTAAGGTTTCTGCAGATTAATTTTACAAGAGTATCTTCTTGAAAGGGGCTAAGATATTTTTTAAAAACCCAATGTTTTCTCATTATTGTCTTGGGTATCTATTAGGTATAAATTTTATCCCTAAGTCTGTGGTTTGAATCTGCTTTGGTTCAACTCAGTGGGAGTTATACTTGACTCTCCACAACAATGGCTTTCTCTGGTTTTTCAGCTGCTGTCTAATGATGGGTGGTACTTTTTGTTTTCTACTTCAGCCACAAACCAGTATTCGGCAGCTCTTCACTATTATCTCCAGGCAGGAGCTGTGTGTTCTGATTTCTTTAATAAGGCTGTGCCCCCTGATGTTTATACAGATCAGGTAAGTTGTTTTCGTGGATTTTTCTCCCTTTTGCCTACCTTTAGATGTTCTAACGCTGCACTCTCTGTGGGTTCACTCTTTCATTTTCATGGCGGTGGTAATTCCTTTGCTCTAGGGCAGCTTCTCTTGTGGATTTCTACCCAACCACACACCATTGCTGTTTTGATTGCTTTAAAGACATCTCAAATTCACCCTGTTTGAAACTGATTCCTTACTTTACCAAGCCCAAATCCTGCAAAAGTATTCATATTTAAATGTATCCATGTTTTTAACAACTTATCCACATTGTTAAAAAGCAAAACCGCAAACCTTTAACCCAACGGTTTACTCTACTTTTTACCCTTAGCCAGTAAGTTTTCGCCTCTCAGCTCAATATACAGTCAACTGTCAAGTTACATTGGTTACACGTCTTAACTCAAATTTTGCATTCTCTTTTGATTTGCATTGCTTTTTCTTCTGGCCACAAACACTGTAATTTAACACACAGCAGTTTTTAATGCTTAAAATTAATGATTTCTTGTTATTGTTGAGAATATACGTAGCCAGACATTTACCCATTCAAGTTTCTATGTGTACAATTTTAGTGTGTTTTTTTTACATTCGTAATGAAGAATTACATTCTTCGAATTATGCAGCTGTTTTCACCCACCTTGTCTTAAGATGTCCCTTCCCTATTATATAAACCCAATCTCATGTTTCCCATCAAAACCTGCAAGTTGCTTCCACCCATGTGATGTCATATAGATCTTACAAGAGCACAGTGCTCATGGTAGACATTCTTTACTAGTTAGGCTAAACTGTTACTTAGTTTTAAAAAAATTTGGGGGGATATTTTTTTGGTTTAAGATCTAAAGATTATTATTTCAGGAAAAGGTTTAAAACAATGACTTGAAATAAATTTTTAAGATTTTTATTAACTAGTTTATAAAAATAATCAGTTTTATTTTTGCAGGTAATAAAACGAATGATAAAATGTTGTTCTTTGCTGAATTGCCACACACAGGTTAGTTAATAATATTATAATATTGGTTTAATTTCATGTATGTCAAAGTTTATAATACATATAAAGCATGGGACTTGAAATTATCTTTTTTTTTCCATATCAAAATTACTGAAGTGTATGGTGACTTAAGATATATTCTTTCTTTTTTTTAACTATATTTAACTAAAAGTGTGAATTAGAAAATACTGACCTTTTATTTAAGAGCAGATACTGTACATTAGTCAGTAGGGAAATAAAAACAAATCAAAACCACAATTTAAAAAAAACACACAAGATACTCCATCACATTCACCAACATAAATATAATCCAAAGAGCTATAAGAATGTAGAGAAATTGTAACCCTCATAAATTTCTGGTGGGAATGTTAAATGTTGCAACCTTTTTGGAAAAGTTTGTTCCTTAAAAACTTAAATATAAAATTACCCAGAAAACCAAAATCAATGCCATGAAGTTGATGCTTATTCAAAGTGACCCTGCTTAGGGTTATTAAGACTATGAATCTTTACCAGAGCCTCATTTTTCTCCCTTGGGGATTATGGGTTTGAACCACTGGTCTTTAGGTTAGCAGCCAATGCGTAACCCACAGTGCTATCATAGGACCCAGCAATTCTACAGTCTATTTAAGAGATTTGAAATGTACATCTTGTTAATAACACCATTATTTATATCAATAATGTTGCCCAAAAGTAGAAATAACCGTTTGCTCTAAAAAAGAAAGTATTGACAAATGCTACAAGGCATTGAGGGACCCAAAATCACTATGCTATATTAAAGAACCCATTGCCATTGAACTTCCTCTAACAGTGACCCTGTACAGGGCTTCCAGGGCTGTGACTCTTCCCAGGAGTGTGCGGTCTGTACTTTCCTTATGGAGAGGCTGTGGGTTTGAGCTGGCAGCTGTACTGTTAGCAATCCAACACTTACCCGACAGTGCCAGTAGGACTCTAGTTAAAGAAGCCAGTCATGAAGGAGCACATATTAGGTGATTCTGTTTATGGGATGTCAAAATTTGACAAATTCATAGATGGAAAATTTTGTTTGCTTGTGGCTGTGTGACCAGAAAGTGGGCTTCGAGGGTAATGACTAAGGGGTGTGAGATTTTCTGGGTTAATGCAAATGCTCTAAATTGATGATGGTGATGGATGCATATATTTTTGTTCTCTTAAAAAGAGTAACTATGGTATATGAATTATATCCATTTAAAAAAAAAAAGAAGGATGCAGCATTATGACCACCAAAGTGGCTTGAAATAGATCTGGTCTATTTGTGTAAGCAGCATTGAGAACCTTAAATCTTGCCAAAATGAGCTGTGAGGAATTTAAATTTGTGTTGTTTGTATGTATCCTTGAATGCTGTGACACTTCTATTTGGCAGTTTTTCATCTGCTTCACATTAGTTTTCTGAGTTGACTCTTGTTAGCATATAACCGGAGCTGTAAGAATTTGTTTAGATCACCCATTGACGAAACTATTGGGCAGAGGACAATTATGTAAAAGGTTTTGAAATTAAAATGGAAGCCATACCAAGAGCTGACCCATCCAGTGATCTGCAAGGCCTCTTAACTTCTTAGACCAAATCGATACCAGAAGGTTGCATTTCAAAAAACCGGGGCAGTCAGTGTCGGCACTAGTAATGTAAAATTGTATTTCAAGCCTTTGTTTATTTGTGTAGGTGGCGATTTTATGTCAGTTTCTCAGAGAAATCGACTACAAGACAGCCTTTAAATCACTGCAGGAACAAAACAGGTATGAGTAAAGTTTAAGGTAAGATGGAGTTGGAAGTATATCTCAAGGCAGAGGTATAATTTTCTTTATGTCTTTCAGTCACGATGCTATGGACTCCTACTATGACTACATATGGGATGTTACCATATTGGAATACTTGACTTGTATCCTTTACGGAAAATGATTTAAATAGATCATTTTTATAAATTAAAGTATGTAATACTGTGTAGTATTTTTCAAATCAGAACTGAAAATCAGTTGAAATACTATATTAATTTCATATATTATTCGTAACTAATATATTAGATCTTCACCATAAAAGAGGAGAAACAGATAAAAGACAAATTGTGGTAAGTTACCTCCATCTTTTTGTGTGTGTGGGATTTAAGATTTGAATCAACAAAAAAGACTTGTGAGCCTAAATCATTGCCAGAATTTGGTTACTAGTGTTTATTTTTTTTAAAGATCCTTTTTGGGTAATAACAAGCTATTATATAATTTGATTGAAAATATTCTATAATGTAATTTCTGTCGCAGCCCTTTAAATAGTTTCCCATGTCATAAATCCAGTAATTAAAATGGCCTTTAAGGCTTCATATGATGTGGTCTCCATCTACCCATGCCTATTGTTCTTTGAACGTGGTGAGAACAGTCACCACTTCCAGGCCTTGGAAATGTTCTCCTGCCAGGAATGCTAATTCCCTCGGGTCTCCTTGTGCTATCCTTCCATATCTTTTTCCCCCTTTAAGACTCATTCTCATTTCCTGTTAAAATTTTTTTTCACTCATCAGACTGATGTAATATACTTTTTAATTTCCCCAAAGGGTAGCAACTTGGCTTTATCTGTACGTGTCCAAAACTTACTAAGTGCTCTGTATTTATTGAATGGTGACTTAAATTTGACTACAGGCCAAGAAGTCATAAATGTCATGTTTTTCCAACTTTTGCTATATTATTAGTACCTTCATAGATAGAATCTCAACAAAAGGATATACTGCTTATTTTCTCTCAAAACTTTGGGGTTAGACTAATTTGTATGTTCATAACTTATGGGGAATAAAACAGTACTGTGTCTTTAAAATAAAACAAAAAACTCTACAAAGCTAGTTTCACATAATTGGGAGTTACTCATCCTCCATTTACTTGGAACTGAAAGGCAAACTTGGATATTTTCCCCCATTTCCAAACCCTGCCACCTAACGACTTTTTAAAGACC